TACTAAGTAATTATTATTACTAATGAATGAATATAGGAAAACATAAAACGAACAAATGAAGCAATTAATAATTTTCTAAAATGGAATTACAATTAACAAGAACAACTGTAAATTAACAGTCTAATAAACATCATATCATTCTGTGCTGATATTCAACGAGTTAAAAATTATTGTTTTGAAACTAATCTTTCGTTTATCAGAAATTGTCAACGATCATTCGATGAAAGGATTCTAATTATAATAAAATTATAATTCTGTTATAATAATATTGTAATAAAATTATAATTTTAATTTATAATTATAAAATTATAATTTAAATATTATAAAATATATATTATTATAAAAAAATTATAATTCGTTTCATAAATGAAGCGTAAAACGTATTATACTTGTTATATCGTAATTTAACTAACAATATGTATGTATTTTCAGAGACTCATAAATATCGAAAGTCTTGCAAAAATTCCCGCCATTTCAATTACGAATCTGTAATATGCTCGATCGTTCAACAATTAATTGTTATTTTCGTATCAATTTCTACCGCAACGTGATCAACATTTTAGATCTAGATAAAAATTTTCCTACTAACTATAATTTTTTCACGTATCAAATGTCGTAATATGACTATTTTTAACTTTAATGTTTTTTCATAATCAAGTAGTTACCCGTACAACATACAGATGTATGTAGAATAAATTTCAAATACTTAAAAAATATTTAAAATTCATATATTCAAATATTTAAGAAAAAGGAAACAAAAATTTTCAAACATCTTTTAGATAGACAATTTATTTGTTAATTAAAGTTACATAATTATTGAAAGGAAACGACGATGTATCTTATATTGCAAATTAGTGAAAAAAAAAATCACCATATCTAAAATCACCAAAACAATTACTACGAGTAACAAAATATAGACTTGTTATTACAACTGTGGTCAAAACAAGTTTCATTTACTTTAGGTATTATACGAATTCGATTCGTTTTTATGAATAATCTAATTTCAAACAATGAATTAATTAAAATCCATAATGAATTTTCAATAAGCTTCTATCTTTTCTGTTTCAAATATAATGTATATATACGATATTTCCTGACTGTAACTTCTAGTAACATGCGCAATTACGATTCATGTTCATCTTCGTACGTAAAAAAAATTCTCCCAAGCAAACAGAGAAAGCAATGGCGAAACAACACGTACGAAATGAAATCATTTGTTAAAACAATGAATCGTCAGCGTTTGCACTAATAGATACACGTTCAGATTATTAACCCTATGATCCTGTTTCCAATTGCCTGAATGAAACCACTGTCTATTTCTATTCGTTTCACCTTGAGGTTATTTAAGATACGCTCATATCTCTATCCACTCTTCAAACATTCGACATTTTCCCCCCAATATTGACAGTATTTCGATCTTCCAACAAACAATTCAATCGAATTAATATTCTCGTCTTTTTTACCGCGTTCCGTGAATCACATTTTTCCTCTTACTAATAACGTGACAATTGAAATTAATTTCACAATACAAATGAAACAAGTTGCATCGCGACGTTTCAGAATTCAATCGCTCGTTGGTTCTGACGTTAAGAATAATTCCCACGTCCGTGGTGTATGACGTATACTGTTATTCAACGCAGGAACGATTAGTCGAGATTCTCTCTACGCTTATCTCGCACAAGCGTCAAAGGAACGGAGCTAGTGACACATGCACAAATTGGCAAGTGTCACTACGCGTGGGATCGAACACCGATATTGACAAGCTACACGTAACCATTAAGGTTAAAGTTAATTTGTAAATCTACAGATGCAACGTATAAGCAGCTCGAAAACACAACAACCACCGATCATTCGAAGCGTACGACGGTTGTATTTTTCGCGAAACCGGCGACACAGAAGCTAAACTTACGGGGAAAATCAAGCGGTACAGCTCTAAGTTAATATATTGCATCGCCTGATTAACCTGCGAAAAAACACTCGTATCACATCTACTCCACGTACCTGATACGACGAGAGCCTCGTTTGGACCGCAAGTGTGAACGTTTCCCATTGTCAGATCAGGTTCAGTTTCTCTCTTGAACGAGGCAGCGACAACAAACCGGCACCAGCAAACAACCAGCACTAACACCGTCACCGTACTGACACTGATTTGCACGTTAATTGGGCAGTGATAAAATACAGATTGTTTCAAATACCCCGGTAGATCATTAATAACATGCAACGACCCGTGTTAGCCGCGCGTCGTAAGGTTACGATGTCACTCAAAGCCACTACCCAAAAATTGTTCGTAGCTTTTGCAAAACCCTAGCAGGCAGCGCTGCCAACCGCGGAACTTGCGCGTACGGCGACATCTCTCCAAAATGGACGGTCCCTCTACGTTCGCATGCTCGTATTTGAATCACGTTTCATTCGCCTCGAGTGAGCGTCAATGTACGAGATTATGATTAAGAAAAAAGATTCGATAATTATGGAAATTCTTTGAAAACATTAATAATTTTCCCGAGAATTCTAACTATAATTCCCACCGTTGCAGATAGGATCGCTAATAATTTGGCGGCTGGCGCGAAAGTTTAAATTTCAAAAATTTCAGCAAGTAATTTTGCAGTTTTATCGAAGCGACAGTTTTATCGAAACTCACTGGAGAAAGAGATACATTCGTATTCGAAATGCATCATTTTCTTGTTTAAATATAAGGAATCGAGTTTCCTTCGAAATGTATCAAAATGTATTTGATTTATGTAACGAAAAGAAGAAAAATATATACGAAATGTTAAACAACACAAGTTTATATGTATTATACATGCACGTGCGTATGCATTTTAATGCTGTGTTTATGTCGGATACTTTTGGCAGCACTGATAGCTGTATTGAAGCTACAACAAAACATAACCTCTAATGTTTAATACTTACATAAGTTATTGTTTTACTTTGTTTTTACATGAGGCTTAGAATATAATTCATTTCGTGTAATAACGATCATTAACATTTTATTTTAAACGCAGTTTTATTATTAAACATCGATAAAATGTCGGAAGACGAAGTAGAGAGCTTTGAGATCACAGATTACGACCTTGAAAATGAATTCAATATTAATCGTTCCAGACGTAAATTATCTAAAAAGCAGCAAATGCTTGGTGAGTATTTCTTTTCAAACAATTATCACGTTCGTTCAGGATGTTATTGAACTCGTCTTTTTGTCGTTGTAACGCAAATGTTAAAAGCTAACCAAAACTTCATTATTTTAGGCATTTGGGGCGATGATAGCGATGAGGATGAATTGTCTGCCAGACCGTCGTTCAAAACTTTTGATAAAGGACCAAAGAATTATACAACGCCTGTAAATTTTGTAGCGGGAGGCATCCAACAAGCTGGAAAACCAAAAGAAGAAACAAGGGACAAAGACGACGATGAAAGTGATAATGAAAGCACAAATAAATCACAAAAGGAATTTCCAAATAGTTCGAGGTAAATTTCAGACAATGAGGCTTATTTGCTTCATGCTCTCTTCTGATTGATAAGTTATTTTCCTGTTTGTAGCTCCGAAGATGAAAGGCCAAGTTCCTTACAGCAACGCACATCATTTTCATTGAATACCGATGGAGACATTGCAGGTTTACGTAAAAAGAAGCATAAAGTAAATCCTTTGTTAATGCAAAGTGGAATGGGAAGTTGGGAAGTTTATACGAAAGGAATTGGAGCTAAGTTGTTGCTACAGGTATATATATAATAATTATTTTATTGATAATATAATAATTATTATATTATATTATATTATATAATAATTATTTTATTGATATTATATATAATATAATATTTTATTGATACTTAACAGATATACTTATATTCAAAATTGTATGATCTAGATGGGCTTTGAACCTGGAAAAGGATTGGGTAAACAATTGCAAGGTATAAGTGCACCAGTAGAAGCACATTTGAGAAAAGGTAGAGGAGCAATTGGTGCTTATGGTCCGGAGAAAGTTCCTAAGGTTCCTGAAAAGAAAAAGGATGAAGAAACGGAAGAAGGAAAAGAATCGAAAGCCAAGTTATCGCAATGGAGAAAAGGAGATGCAAGCGTTACAAAGAAAAAAATAAATTACATATATCGGAGCGTCGATCAAGTTTTGGAAGATGGAAAACTAAAACCCAATAAGAAAGTAAGAATATCAAATGAAATGAGTAGGGTTAAAGTCATAGATATGACTGGACCTGAGCAAAGAATTCTTAGTGGATATCATGCGATAGCTGGAGGCCAACAACGACCCGACGAGAACGTTGTAGTTACCGATAAAAAATCTAAAATTAATTTTGCACTGCCAGAACTTCAGCACAATTTAAATATACTTGTGGATATGTGTGAGCAGGATATTATACAAAATGACAGAAGGACACGGCATCTAAGTGACAGGGTAGTTGCGTTAGAAGCAGAAAAGAAAAACTTATCTAAAGTCATAGATCAACATGGTCAGTTGATTGACACGTTAGAAAATGTTCTTGCAATTGTAGATAGATTGATGGACGAAACAAGTCAATTAACGTTACAAGAAACCGCGAATGCTTTTAAAGACTTGCAAGATAAATATTATGAGGAGTATAAAATGTACGAACTTGGCGAATTAGCTAGCAGTTTCGTTGGCCCGAAGATAAAGGATTGTTTAACTAATTGGAATCCATTGATACAACCGAAACAATGTATCAAACTGTTTCATCAGTGGAAAAATATTTTAGTGACTGGTACTACCACTCTCCAGACAAGAACTATGCATCCGTACGATCATCTTGTCTGGAATTCGTGGATGCCATCAATTAGAGGTGCTGTACAGTAAGTAATTTGTTTCACAAAATTTCAATCAATGTGCTTGTATAATATTATGTATATACGTATATGATGTTTGTTTTTTGTAGACAATGGATGTGTAGACAACCAGAACCACTAATTGAGTTACTAGAACATTGGATGCCATTGCTTCCGAAATGGATATTAGAAAATATTTTAGATATGCTAATTCTCCCTAAGTTAACCTTGGAAGTAGAAGAATGGAATCCTCTTACTGATACAGTGCCTATACATACATGGATTCACCCTTGGATACCACTTTTAAGTATGTATACGTACAAAAAATTTAGCATAATTAAAAACACGAAGGAACTATATTAATATTGTTATATTATTATTGCAGGAGTTCGTTTAGATACTTTGATATATCCAATAATACGACGTAAATTAGGATCTGCATTGGGCGGTTGGCATCCATCTGATAGATCTGCTAGGTTAATGTTACAACCATGGTCTACAGTTTTCGCCAAAGGAGATATGGAAGCTTTCCTAGTGAAGAATATCATACCGAAATTACAAATAGCACTTTCGGAATTCGTTATAAATCCACATCAGCAACATTTAGATCAATGGAACTGGGTGTATGAATGGAAGGAATTAATTCCTTCTCACATAATGGCAGGATTGTTGGATAAATTCTTTTTCCCTAAATGGTTACAAGTTTTAGCTTTGTGGTTAAATCATTCCCCCAACTATGATCAAGTTACGAATTGGTACATGGGATGGAAAAGTATGTTGAGTGAAAAAATATTGACTGAACCGTTAGTGAAAGGTGCGTGTCTAAAATTAAAAAAAAAAAATATATTGAATTTTTATTAACGAATAAAGTTGTAAATCTATAATCGTATATTTGTTGATTTACAGAACACTTCAAAAAAGCATTAGAAATGATGAATAGAGCAGTTTCCGTGCCACAGAGTCACCAACCTGGCGCAATGGAACAAGTTTCGTATTTAACAAGTTTAGAAAGGACTCAGCCCACCATGTCACAAATGCCTTCAACTGCTCAACCTAGAATGGAGGTACGATTTAATTTTAATTTACTTTCAACCTTTGGACTACTAGATTGCAGGATCTGTGTTCGACTCATTCTGATTTCATATTATTATAAATATAATTTGGTTTTATATTTGGTTTTATATTTTTAGTTTAATATTATTTTCTCAAAATGTTATAATTAGACTCGAGATCGTCTTGAAAAAATTGAAAGATGCAAAAATAAATGTACATAATATATAAAAACACATAAAATATCTATTTTTATGCATTTAGAAAAATTTAAAAGTATATACATGTATAGAAAGTATCCAAAGTACAACACTTGTTATAATATTTAAAAAATGAAACAAATTTTTATTCAAGTTCTATTTTTTTAATTTGTATCTAGTTATAATATTTAAAGCAACATCTGTAATCTTAAAAACATAATGATATATATAAAAATTTACGCATAAGAATCCTGTAAGAAAATATTATCTATAAATTTGTGGTGCAAATATTTATGATGATCATTTGCAAAGTTTTGTTCAGCAAAGATGTTATTACTTTCAAAATAGTCAGTCACCAGTATGCTAAATTAATAAAGTTCTACAAATATCTTATCAACACTGTGAATTATTTTTTTGCAGAGACTTGCTGAAGCAGTCAGAACAGCATCACAGATACCTCAAGGTTTCAAAGATCTCGTTGAAAAGAAATGCGAGGAACGAGGAATATTATTTATGCCAATACCAAATCGGTATAGGGAAGCAAAACAAGTGTATAAAGTTGGCAATGTTCAAGCTTATATAGACGGAAATGTTTTATTCGTTTGTCACAATGGCATGAATTGGATGCCAACGCACTTAAATGCTTTACTAGACATGTCTGAACTCTAGAATGTTCAGACAATGTGGATAATTATTTATCTTGTATATATATTGTAAAATAAGTTTTTAGGACACAATATTAAAAGAATTACACTGGATCAGATACAGAGCAAATAAAATTGATTGTCATTTTTGATATATCTGCGTTTACTATAATTCATTACAAACCCTTTCTTATCTACGTTTGGCACATCATTCAACAACATAAACTGTAAGAAACTACTATTATGATTATATTGGTAAATTTTTACCAATCTTTTTTAAATTAAAATTTTGATAAATGTATATAAACAAAAATACAAAATATTTACTACAAACATATTTGCCATAGTTATTTTAAGCATAAAAATTTATTAATATAATGCAATTATATTAAATTAAATATTAACATACATAATTATATTAAATATCTTATAATTTGTGTTATATATTTTTAAAATGATTTCCAACCTAACTAATATATTCATGACAGTTGACTACAATGTTAATGGAATTTCAAAATATATACATTAAAAGTATTTTACATAAAATAATAGAAATAATTTCTTCAGCCTATTGTCACATAGTTCTCTTCCATTAAAAGTCATGTTTGTTTGCATCTTTGAATTCATATGCTACCCTTCCTCTTTACTTTAGCATGCTTAGTCCACATGGATGATCCCTTCCAGAAGTCAAGTTCTTGCTCCCGTTGATCGCGATTTCGATTTTTCGTTTTCGTTGCAGCTGTCGGACGTCGGATAAGAAGTTGAACCAGCTGGTGTACGCGCTGTTCGTCGTCGTGTCTCATCGCATTGCCGTGAAATTTAGAGTCACTTGTGTTCTCCAAATATTGCGATACGTAAGCGTTATATTAGTGTACATTTAGTGAACATAATCAAGCTTCGGAAGATATTGTAGCAATATTATAGATTAGATATATTATATAATATAATACAACATACAAAAATTATAAATATTATAAAAATACTTTATACATATAAAATTTAATTTAACAATTATAAAAATATTTTGTATAAATAAACCGTCTACTCCTTTTTGTAAAACCAGACTCATTGTCAGAGCTAGAAACACATCGTTTCCTGGCACAGTGGCGCCGTTAGAAGAACATCCGTCTGTCGCAACAATACGTCTAATTAATCAGCGTCCATCAGCAAGAAAAGGAAGAAAAAGGAAAAATACTCGTTCTCAAAGGGGAAGAGGATCGTTGTACTCATCCTGATCGCTCGAGAAAAATCGTGCACACGGAATCCTGATCGAACGGCCGCGGACAGGTTGCTCCTGTTGTCAGTCAGCTCGCGGCGTATTCCAGTTTTCCCTTCTATTAAACCTACCTGGGGAGAATGATGATTTCCGGTGGCGTCTGTTTCTTGTTCCCAGCTGCTCCGGCGCTGCGGAGGTTGAAATAGCGGCCGGATAGAGGGAGTCCGATAGCATATTCCGTCAGCATTGTGCCGATACCAGTTTCTAGGGATGGGATCAAGTTCGACATCTAAGCTTCGTTTCAAATACTATACTCGAAAGTAAGAATGTTTCAACGACATCTAAGCTTCGTTTCGAATACTATATTCGAAAGTAAGAATGTTTCAACGAGTGCGATTGCAATGTATTCAGTTTAGATCTAGAGCAGCATCTCGACGTTTATAAGGTTAGTAGTCGAATACAAGCGTTACACGCATGCGCATTAAATGTATGCCTATCAAACGTATGCGCCATTAGTTACAACAGAGAAAGCGCGTTTGACAAGAAGGCAACATTTGAAAATCGTGTATAGAAAAATAAATTTTACACTTCATCCAGTCGACAAAATCTCTGTCACACTAAAAATCTAGTCTAGCTGTAACATTTATGGATTCTCTGAAATGAAAGATGTATCGTCAATTGTACGTCAGTATTGTTTCTTTTTTTTTTTTTT